ACCGAGACAAGGAGAAGAACAAGAGCAGGAAGGTACCAGGTCTTCATAGTTGTGGCAGATCAAAGGCTGATGTTCTGTTGGGAACTCCTAGGAACTGGAAACCAAGGAGAAAACCAGACATTGTATTTCTGCGTCATTTAGTTTATATCACTCTGCAGATTCAAACCATAAGGATAGATTTTAAAAGAAAAGAAAGCCTCTCCTCTTCACTGAGGGGAGGTATTCTGAGCGGGAACTGGCCCCGTGCCAGCAGGGGGGCATGATTGGCCCCCTCCATCACTGTCCTGGCTGCCGCACCCCTGCCCATTGAGCCAGTCAATATGGCTGGGTTGTGGGCTGGATTTGAGCCACATTCAAGTGGACGTGGCAGCCTTGTGTCCTCACTCTGCTGCCCAGTGCCTTCAGATCACCCGCCCACCCTCCTTTAGGTCATAATTCATGCTTTTGACCTTGCTATGGACCGTGGTTGGTTGCCCTGGTTGACCAGGGGGCCTGGTAGGAATTTTTTTCCTTTTGGCAAATTGGCACCAGCCTCTTGGTTTTTTGCCTACTTTGTAGAAAATTGTCACAACTTTTCAGGTATTGATGGTTAGGCACTGGAACATCTGTTGTGTGCTGGAGGGCAGGTCATGGCCATCACCTACCCCTCCCCTTGTTGGGTATTCCATTAAAGGAATCCAGAGGTCGTGGATCCTGTCCAATGCCCTGCTGGTGGCTAGGGCCATGGCGTGACCCCCAGTGACTTCAGAGGAAGCTTCCAGTTGTATTTGCATCAACAAGCTCCTCCCGCTGGGTGTTAACCTTCAAATGACTCCCCGCTGTGCGGGGTGGGGTCATATATTGATTGCTGATCCAATGCCTAAGCCAATACCTCTCACATGCTGTAATCAATAAAGTTGTGGCCTTATTTAGCCCATTAACTTGAAATAAATGTGTCTGGTGTCTTATTTATCCCCAAGCGGGTGGAGGGTCTGAAAATGCAGACAAATCTTGGATGTTTAGATAGATAGATGATAGATAGAGATAGAGATAGATAGATAGATAGATATAGATAGATAGATAGATTGATGATAGATGATGATGATGATGATAGATAGATGATAGATAGATAGATGATAGATGAAAGATGAAAGATGATAGATAGATGATAGATGATAGATAGATAGATGGATAGATAGATAGATAGATAGATAGATAGAGACAGATGATAGATAAATATAAGGTAAAGGGGCCCCTGACCGACTCTGGGGTTGCAGCGCTCATCTTGCTTTATTGGCCAAGGGAGCCAGCGAACAGCTTTCAGGTCATGTGGCCAGCATGACTAAGCTGCTTCTGGCAAACCAGAGCAGCACACGGAAACACCGTTTACCTTCCCACTGGAGCGGTTTACCTATTTACCTAAATATTTACCTATTTATCTACTTGCACTACTTGCACTACTTAGTGGCTCATAATCTCCTTCCTCCCCCACAACAAACACTCTGTGAGGTGAGTGAGGCTGAGAGACTTCAGAGAAGTGTGACTAGCCCAAGGTCACCCAGCAGCTGCATGTGGAGGAGCGGGGAAGCGAACCCCGTTCACCAGATTACGAGTCCACAGCTCTTAACCACTACACCGCACTGGATCTCCAGAAAGATAGAGATAGAGATACAGATATAGTGTGTGTTTGTGTGTGTGTGTGTGTGTGTGTGTGTGTGTGTGTGTGTGTTTAAGTGTAAGATTCATGTTTCCTAAAGTAACCAGCACATCAGCATATGCATCCCAAGTCATGTAACTGTATCTTGCAGAAAAAATAATATAGCAAGAGGTTGCCACTGTTATGTGTATTATGCATTTAATTTTGTATATAATTAGTTGGCGTTTAAAAAGAACACTGACTAATAGTGCAGACATAAGTGGGTGCATGATGGAAGGGGCAACCTTACGCATGCTCATCTGGATTGGGACAGCCAAAATTCATGCATAAATTCATTTCATCTGAGTTACTCCTCCATCCTTATGAAGAAGTAACTTATCTTCTAAAGGCATGTCCGCATGAACATAATGTGCTGTCTATGTGGATGTGCATGCACAAATGTCCCCAAAGCATCTCTCTCCACACATTTCACATTTCAAAAGGGCATAGGATGATCAGTTACAGAAGTGAAATTGTGATGGCACATTATTCTGAAAGGAAAGAGTACAATGTGCAGAACTCTTGAACCTTGCTTTATAAGAAGCATGAGAGCTGGACTTAAATATTGGGGGTTGTAATGGAGTACATCAGAGTAGATGTCATCTATTCTTTGAATTATGATTGATTTTATGCTATAGATTTCTTCAGGAGTGTTCAAGGAGCCCACCTCACCTATGTCAATCCTGTTCACTGCCACTTCTGCCTACAAAGGTACCTCCCCACTGCTTTCCAGGCCCTGGGCATAGTCACCCCCTGCACAAGTCATACACCACCACCTCTGAAATAGTGACCTGTTTCAGGCTTTTAGCATCACCACCAGCAACAACAAAATGCATGAAGCTCTCAAACCTTCCTCCATACCTCTGCAAAATCCAGAGAAGCATCAAAATCACACCCACCCACTCACCTGTTTCCCAGTATTCCAGTCTTCGCTGGAGAAGCTCAACCAGACTTTTCTCAGGGCATATCAGCCCAAAGTACACACTGTTTCTCTTTATAAGCACTCCATAGATTTTATTTCCCTCTGCAGCTATGTTACATCTTGCCCAATCACCTTCCCCAAGGGCTGAGGCTCCTCCCCTTTCTTCGATACCCAAGGGGCTAAAATCAAACAGATGAATCATTCCCTGTTGCTGTGGAATTCTGTTGGTCCTTGAGCAATTCTCTTTAACCTCAGTGGGGAAGGATGTGCAAACCTGGAGTTCAACCACGTTGACCCTAATTATCTTGTGTATTCTGTGAAGTTCTGAAGTTCATAATATAACATTATGTATATTTGACAATGTATGGTTGTGTAAGTAAATATACAGTCATACCTCAGGATAAATGTGCTTCAAGTTAAGTATTTTCGGGTTGCACTCGATGGCAACCCGGAAGTAACGGAGCACGTTACTTCCGGGTTTTGCTGTGCGTGCATGCGCAGACGGTCAAAATGATGTCACGCGCAGGCGCGGAAGCAGCGGAACCCGACCCGCGCACGTGCAGATGCCTGGACTTGAGTTGCGTTCGCTTCAGGATGTGGACGGGGCTCAGGAACGGATCCCGTTCGCATCCTGAGATACCACTGTACTAGATAAATTAATGGGAAGGATAGAATGGGAGGCTGAGGGTGTGTTGGAAGAGAATGGTGATTGGATGGAAGTTTTGAAAGGGAGTTTGAATATTGGTGTGATGTGAAAAAGTATAATAATAATAAAATAATAATAATAATAATAATAGACTTCCGGGTTAGCGCCATCGGCAATGGCGGAGTTCCTCTGACCGAGAGGAACCTGCTCCGTGAAAATCGGGTCTTGCCGCCGCGGCGAAGGCGGAGACCCTTTAAAAATCCCAGGCGGAGGAAGCCTGGGAACGTGGGATTCGGCTGACACCTGGAGCGCCTCCCCTACTCGCAGGGAAACCCTTTTTCGGGGATCCGAAGCGACATGGGGTGAGTGGTGCGGTGTTTTGAATCAACTGCTACTTTTACGGAGTGAAGCCGCACAGCCGTTGCCGGAGAGCGCTGACTTTTTCCTGTGGACAATTGGACTCTAAACAAGTACCCGTGAGTAGAACGGAAAATTGGATTAAGAAACATTTTAATTTGGCACTGAAGCGGGAAGGTTCTAAACAGGAAGTCCGCCTTCCGCTTTTGTAAATAGATTGAAGCAAAAACTTTGCAAGCTAATGTCTGGAAAGTCGTATATAAAGGTCTAAATCTCCTTCAGTTATTACCACCAAAACCCCTCTTGGAAGCAGGAGAAAAGGGGGGAATTTTTGATTGTTCAAGCCTGCAGGAGAGAGAGTAAAGAAAGATAAATTTCCACCGTCTCAAACCTGGGAACGGGGTGTCAGAGACAGAAATTTATGGGGAAGTTCATTGACTGTGAATGGAACGTCTTTTGACAGATAGTTAAAAAAGAGAAACAAATTGATTCCAATGTTGCCTTTTGCATTCAAAAGAAACAAAATATTTGAAAAATGAAAGTAATTTTCTTTTGTTGGTTCTGCTTTCAAAAGATTGATACAAATAGAAATTGTCTCCTCTAGAGGGAGCTTGTTAAATTGCTGCTGGAGTCGATCTGGGGATTTCACAGCTGTGGAGATTAGGATCGTGAGACCAGACTCTGACCTTGAATAAAAATGTGTTTAGAAGAAGTTTTGGTGCTTGCTTTTTGCAAGACAAGCGCTTTGCTGGAGCAGATGCATGAGAAGATGGATTTGATGACTGTTGCAGTCAAAAACTTTGGACAAACGGCGAATACCCATATAGAAATCATTCAGGAACCAACCCAGGAACCTGTTTTGACAGGGCAAGTGCAAGTGCAGAAGATAATGGAGGAGGTTGCTGTTGAACCTCAAGTAACACAAATGGAGAGACTCGAGGCCTTGCAGGAGCATAAGCCGCTGTTCTTGAAGTTTGAATCTGGAGTGGACCAGGGGGGGTCTGGAGTTGTGAGGGCTCTTAATTTTGGAGGGACTTTGAAACATGCTCTTAAATACTTTCTGGATTACAGTGCTGACTGTGGGGAATGGGACTGTGGGGAATGGGCTGATCTGCTGAGGGGAGATGGAGATATTTTTGGATTGGAGTCCTCCCGAGGCCTACCCCCAATGAGAAAGGAAAGAAATTAAGAAAAAGATCAACAAAAGACAAAGTAAAGTGCAGGTATAAACAAGAAAAAGATCTGCAGAAGGGACATGGAAAAGACTTAAGAGCCTCGGACATAAGATCACCAGGCTGATGGACTAGATGGAATGGACAAGAAGGACTGACAAAACCCGAGACCAGGAAGAAGAGACATTGGATGAAGATTGGAACAAAGTTTTTAAAAATTTATTTTGAGAATTAGTGTAAAATTAACGAGTATTAGGAAAAATGTTGGAATGAAACTATTTGGCTTTAGTAGAAATGATATAAGGAGTGATGTACAAATATGTATTAAGTTTTAAGTTTTAAGGTATTTTTTATGGTAAGATAAGGTTAAAATAAATTAAGGTAAATTGAATGACAGAATACAGTGAACGATGGAAAGGATTTGCTGAGTTAATTAATAGGTTAGACCGTTAAGATAAATTATATAACAAAAATTGAGAAAGATGGAAAGAATTTGCTGAAACAATTAATTAAATTAGAATACAAAAAGGGAGGTGTGAGGAGGTCGATGAAACAAGTAAATGAAAGATAAAGATATGGAATATTGGATGTGTGTTTTAATGTTATTGGTGTTTTTTTTTTGCTGTATTGTTGTATTGTTTTTTATGCTTTTTCTTTTATGTATTGTAATGTATGTCTTGTCAAATTGTTTGTTGTTTTCTTTTCTTCTTTTTTCTGTAATTTTTAAACTTCTAATAAATATCATTTATGATAATAATCATAATCATAATCATAATCATAATAATAATAATTTATTTGCACCCCTCCCATCTGGCTGGGTTTCCCCAGCCACTCTGGGCAGCTTCCAGCAAAGATTAAAAATACATTAAAATGTCAGGATGTCAGGAGTCCAGTTCCCAGATTGAAAACACATATATAGGTGTTTGGCTCACTACTGGGCGTAACATTTACTGTGAACAGAACTTGTTTAACTAAACTATAAAGGTGGGTTGATTATGTTAGATCAATTCAATGATTTCTTTTTATAACAAGAGATATAAGCATATTGTTTCCAGATAGGGAAGGGGCAATGCTGCCATGAACACCACAACTATGATTTAGAATGAAGCTCAAGAGATGCAGGGGTGCTGAATTTTGGTAGTTTTGCCATATGCCCATTTGGTAGTTTTGCCACATGTCCTGGCGTCAGTGTTGTCTGCTGCTCAACCTGCATAAAGATCTCTTTCTTATTTACAACTAAAAGCCTCTATGTGTTTTGGGTGGGAGCCAGGATGGAAGACCATTTGTTTTGCATGCAGAGTATCATGCAGAAAGGTCATGAGATTTTCTTCCTGGACTATAGGAGAATAATGTTATGGATGTTCTGTTACATAAGTGAAATTGTGATGGCCGATTGCTCTGAAATGAAAGAGCACAATGTGCAGAACTCTTCATGAGGGGCATAGGAGTTGGATTTAAATAATTGGAGTTGTAATGGAGTGCATCTGAACCATCTGTTCTATCGATTACTATTTAAAAGGTTATTTGGTTTTATAGTACAGATTTCCTCCTAGATGCCCAGGATTGTGTACAGACCATTCCTACCTCAAAACCAATGAGACTTGGAATTGACTTGGAATTGAGCCACTTGGCGCTAAAGCAGGGGTGGCAAACTTATAGACCTGCTGAGATTGCTGGACTCCACTTCTAATTATCCATGACCATTGGCTATTACGGTTGGGGTTGATCAGAGCAAGAGTTCAAAATAAAAATAGCACTGTTATACAGTGGTTCCGCTCCTTCCTCCTGTGCTGTGTCCAGAAAGTGGTGTTGGGGGATGAGTGTTCAGACCCCTGGGCTCTCACATGTGGGGTGCTCAGGGTTCTGTCTTCTCCCTGGTCCTGACTGGGGCAACTGTGCCCCTGAGGGAGCAGGAGCACTATGCCAGTGTGATGTAGTGGTTAAGAGCGGTAGTCTCCTAATCTGGGGAACCAGGTTCGCGTCTCCGCTCCTCCACATGCAGCTGCTGGGTGACCTTGGGCCAGGCACACTTCTTTGAAGTCTCTCAGCCCCACTCACCTCACAGAGTGTTTGTTGTGGGGGAGGAAGGGAAAGGAGATTGTTAGGCGCTTTGAGACTCCTTAAAGGGAGTGAAAGGCGGGATATCAAATCCAAACTCTTCTTCTTCTTCTTCTTCTTCTTCTTCTTCTTCTTCTTCTTCTTCTTCTTCTTCTTCTTCATTTTGTACTCACAGCTGCCCATAGAGGTGCAGGTCAATTCTGTTTCCAGGGTAGCCGTCTACCAGCTCCATCTGGTATGCAGGCTGAGACCCTACCTGCCCGTGGACTGTCTTGCCAGAGTGGTGCATGCTCTGCTTATCTCCCGCTTGGACTACTGCAACATGCTCTACGGGGGGCTACCTTTGAAGGTGACCTGGAAACTACAACTAATCCAGAATGCGGCAGTTAGACTGATGACTGGGAGCGGCCACCAAGACCACATAACTGGTCTTGGAAGACCTACATTGGCTCCCAGTGTGTTTCCGAGCACAATTCAAAGTGTTGGTGCTGACCTTTAAAGCCCTAAATGGCCTTGGCCCAGTATACCTGAAGGAGCACCTCCACCCCCATTGTTCAACTTGGACACTGAGGTCCAGCACCAAGGGCCTTCTGGCAGTTCCCTCACTGTGAGAAGTGAAGTTAAAGGGAACCAGACAGAGGGTTAGGGTCAAAGAAATAAACAACTATCTGACATTTAGAAGACATCTGAAGGCAGCCCATCTAATATAGAATGCTTCTTCCCGTTCTCCTCTGGCGATCAGTCATAGCCGCGTAAGATTGTCTTCCATGAACACAGTCTTAACAGAGAGTCCGTAGGTGACTGTGGAGGCCAATTTTGGATCCACACGTCCTTCCACGGAGGGGGAGGGGACACAAAGGTTTTCGGATGGGAGCTGATCACGGTGAGGGTTTGTCAAATGTGTCTTCCCCTTAGCTTGTTTCTCCCTTTTGTCCTGAGATTGAGCATCTTCGAAGTCCATGACGCTTTTGGCAAAGGCTGTTCTCCAGTTGGAGTGCTCACAGGGGATTCTGCAATGCATCAGAGAGAGTGCCCTCTCCCGGGCCACCAACATCCACATTTTGGAGGACAGCAGAACTAACAAGAGGACCCCCTCCACTGATCATAACACATGAGAAGGTTGGTAGGGAAGAATAAAGTCTTCCGAACATGTGGGGCCTAGATCATTTAGATTTTTAAACACTGACATGACATGAGGACTTAGAATGTTGGAGTGAGTGTCATTCATTCCCTGAAACAAGTTACAGAAAGTTCGTGGAAGTTCCAGAAGCTGCCAGAATGCTGGATTGTTTAGGTGCAAGGTCATCCGTGTGAGAACTGTTTTCCACACTTGCACAGCTTACTGGACTGTACTCAGGGACTGTTTAGTCTGCTCCCACCTCTTGGACTGAAAGGATGGGGGGGGGGCAAGGTCTGCAACCAACCAGGGTAAGGTCTGCAACAGTTGAGGGAACCTCTACCGAGAAGCTTGTAAATAGTTTTCTGTAACCACTAAGCTCAAATGACAGTCAAACCATTCTGAGTGTACCTAATAGTTTCTGTGATTTGCTACTACATGTCTGTCTTGGGACTCCTACATGCTGAAGGCTGTGTGTACACCTGCTAATTCAGTGCCTGGTGATTTGGGAAACATGCCAGACCCACATAAGGTGTTTTTGGTAGTAAAAAACTCCAACAGGTTATGGGTAATAATAAAATTTAATTATTAATAATAATTTTTATTCTTTTCCCCACCCTTCTAGGCTGGGTTTCACCAACCACTCTGAGCAACCCACAGCACATTAAAAAATTGCAAAACGTTAGACATTTAAAATTTCCCGATACAGGGTTGCCTTTGGAGGTCTTCTAAAAGTCAGATAGTTGTTTATTTCCTTGACATCTGATGGGGGGGGGGGCGTTCCACAGGGCGCCCAAAACAAAAATGGCTCCGGAAATGAACTGGCAACCAATTGTATCCATTACTTGCCTGGATAACTGCTGCGTGAATTCAGAAAGTGTGAATTAGGATGGCTTGCCTTTTGTCTAGAGGTGATGGAAGAACTTACTTGGGTCAAAAGAGAGAACCAAGACAAGGACAAGAACAGGAAGGTACCAGGTCTTCATAGCCATGGCACATCAAAGGCAATTGTTTCATTGGCAAATCCTAGGAAATCAAAACCAGGAGGGAAGCTGGAGATTGTATTTCTGTTTATATCACACTGCATATCGTAAGATATTGAGCTATTCCAGATGTAGGGATGAATCTTAAAAGAAAGGAAGGAAATCTTCATGTCAAAATTATCCCCACATATTTGTTCTTCTGTTGGAAATGCAGACAAATCTTTCATATCTTTGAAACAGTTACACGCTTCAGGTTTCCTAAAGTCACCAGAACATCAGTAGATACATCTAATTCATTGCCCTCACAGCCACAATCAGCTGTATACATTTTGGCTTTCATTCCTCCCTGAGGTAGTGCCTCTATTTCAGGGTTTTACTATCACAGCCACCACCAACAAAATGCATGAAGCCCCCAAACCATACTCCCCAAACCCCTTAAATCTCTTTACCGTATTTTTCGCCCCATAGGGCGCACCGCCCCATAGGACGCACCTAGTTTTTTTGGGGGGGAAATAAAGAAAAAAAATTATTTCCCCCCAGACACGGGGCTGGTGCGGGGGAAGCCCGAGCTTCCCCCGACCCCAGCCCCCAGAACAGCCTGCAATCCGCAAGCCTAGGGAGCCGCGTCTCCCCAGGCTTGCGGAGAGCTGTGCGAAGCCCAGGGGCACTCTTCAGCGCTCCCCAGGCTTCGGAATGCAGTCAGCTCTGTGCAACCCTAGGGAGCCCGGTGCGCCGGGCTCCCGAGTGTTGTGCAGAGCTGCGCAACGCCCAGGAGCTCATGGTTTCTGCAGGTCATTGGGCAAAATACTTCACTAAGTGAGTCTCTTTAACCTCATAGAATCATAGCACTGTAGATTTGGAAGGGACCCCAAAGGTCACCAACCCAACTCCCTGCAATGCAGGAATCTCAGCTTAAGCATCCATGACAGATGGCCATCCAACCAGTGCTTAAAAGCCTCCAAGGAAGGAGAGCCCACCACCTTTTGTGGGAGTTTGTTCCTTTGTTGGACAGCTCTTAGCGTCAGACAGTTTTGCCGTATGTTTAGTCGGAATCTCCTTTCTTGTAACTTGAAGCAACTGGTTCGAGTCCTACCCTTCAGGGCAGGAGAAAATAAGCTTGTTCCTTCCTCCGTGTGAGGGATATTTGAAGATGGCTATCATATCTCCTCTTGGTCTGCTCTTTTCCAGGCAATACATACCCAGCTTCTTCAAGAGCTCCTCATAAGGCTTGGTTTCCAGGTTGGTTGCCCTTCTCTGCATACATATGTCCTAAACAGTTTCTTCCGGATGAATGAACTAGGCTATGTTAAGATGAATGCACTAACAACCCCACTTCAGACTTTTCCATATTTTTTTGTCATTGTTGGCACCCATCTGTTTCAAGAGAGAACAGGGTCAAAGCCAAACCGCCAGAGAATCACAGCACCCACTGTGGCTGCAGAGACCTGTAACACATAATTGCTGCCTGCCATGTTGCTTTTGTTGCATTATCAGCAATTATGTGATGGCCTGGGATTCAGACTTGGATGCTGAACCTGAGGGATCCCAGCCTGTACAGGAGTCCCCGCCTCCAGAAGCAGCTGA